CTCTGGGACTAAGGGTAAAACTGAAATGGATCTGCTCTGCTGACATATAAAGCCAAGCCTCTAGGAGTTCAAGGTGATTAGCTAGTAACTTAACTGCATAGTAGAACAAAAGCTCAACACCCATCATCATGAAGAAAATGTAGAATCCAGAGTCTCTACAATATATTACCCATAATGATCAGTATATAATTAAAAATATCTAGACATAAAGAAACAGAAAAGTAGTCAACAGTCAGTAGAAATAGACCTAAAATGACTCAGATGTTGAAATTAGCTAACAGAATCTTTGTAAAGAAGCTATTAAAATATACATGAACTTGATCATAACATTGAACAGATGAGGAAAAGAAGATAAAAATAAGAACCAAATGGAAATCCCAGAATTGTAGAGTAAAATAGCTGAAATGAAAAATTTAGGGCTTAATATCAAATTGGAGCTGACAGGAGAAAGGGTGAGTAAGATGGAACATAGATCAAAAGAAGTCATCCAATCTATAGAGAAAAAAAAAGTTAATTGAAATAAAATTGAACATGGTCTCAATGACTTGTGAGACAATATCAAGTGTTCTATCAACTGTGTAATTGGAGGCCCAGAAGAGAAGAGAGTTGGGTAGAGAAAATATATGGGAAAAAAATGTCCTAAATTTCCTTCGATTTTGTGAAAACATAAACTTATAGATCCAAGAAACTCAGTAAACCCCATGGCTAGCTAAATACAAAGAAAACCACACCTAGGCACGTCATCATCAAACTACTGAAAAGCAAAGAAAGGGAAAAACTTGAAAGCAGGGACAAAAATACTTTATATACAGAGAACAATGATACAGATGGTAACTGACTTCTCATCAAAAACAATAGAGATCATAGAACAATAGAATGGCATCTTGAACACGGAGAAAGAAAAAAAAGCTGGTCAACTCAAAATTCTATGTCCAGTGAAAAATATTCTTTTCATATCAAAATTGAAGGCAATATCAAGACATTTTCAGGTAGACAAAAGCTGAGCAGACATGCGCTACATAAAATGCTAAAGGGAGTTGTTCAAGATAAATGGATATGGCACCGAACAGAAACTCAACTACAAAAGAAAGAATAAAGAACACCAGCAATGGCAAAATGTGGGTAAATATAAAAAAAATATTTTATTTTCTTCCTTTTGATTTCTTTGGAAGGCAAATGACTGCTTCAGGGGAAAAGAATAGTGTTATATTGTGAGGTTTGTAATGTATGAAAATGGAAAATATATGGCCAGGACAGCTCCAATGACAGGGCATGGGTAAATGGAATTATACTGTTGTAAAGGTTTATTTTAAATAACCAAAGCCTTTGGCTACTCCAGTTTTGGTGGTGCCAACTCAGTCTGAGGGATGGGGACCTGCTGTCAGGGGTGAGGGAGAGGGGCAGGGGCCCAGGGGGCTTCTATGGCAGATGCTCTGCTTGGGACCAAGGTGGTCCTGGGGCCTTGGGTAGGTGATTAGTAGATGAATGACACCTGTTGGTCCACTAAGACTAAAAGGGCTCAGGGCAGGAGCCATATGGGCCCAGGGGAAAGCTGAAGCCCTTGAGCTTTTAGAGCTGGAAGGAAGCTTTGATGGGACAGCCTCCTCCCTCCTTGCATCTTACAGATGAAGAAAGCGAGGCCCAGGATGGTGAATCACTTCTCCATGAAGGGTCAGCTGGTTAGCAACTGTGTCCAGGCTCTGAGTCCCGGCTTTCAGGCCTAAACCAGACCTACTTCCCCATGCCCCTCTCTAGGGGTCTTCTGGGGTTGACTCCCCAGGCACTTTAAAACCATCCTTGGATCCTCAAAAGAGAGACTGCAGGACTGTTCATCTCTTATTGCTCCTGAGAGCAAGCGGCGCTACCATTTGCTGGTGGAAAGCGTGCTCGTGGGCTCCAGACAGAGCTAGGAACCCAGCATGGTGCCTTTATCTTGTTTCCATCGGCATAACCTTCTTGGAACATGAAATAAAGCTTCTTCCCCGGCCCTTATCGCTAATAGGATCGGTGGTTTCAGCGGGGCGTGGGGAGCTGCCGTGCGCATGCTCAGCATGGCTGGGAAGATGCTGTTGCCATTGCAGCCCAGGCAGCTGCCGGTCCTGTCTGCAGTCGAGAAGCTTTCCTACTCAGGAGGGACAAATGCTATGGGGCCATTTTGCCCGGGGAAGGCATTTTTCCCAGCCTGCTTCACCGTCCCCAGGTGAGGAAGGGAGTGGCAGCCCCCAAGTTGGGCCCTCTTTGTCGTCCACCTACAGCCCCAGGTAGGGGCTGTGGCTCCAGCTGCAAAGCCCTGGCTAGGGGAGGTGGCACAGCCAGAGCCACCTAGTAGCACCGCTGGGCTCTCACCTCCTCACTGCTGGAAGCTTCTCCCATCCCATACAACACACGTCTTAAATGACGTGCAGATTTCTTTTCTTTCTGTAAGTACATTGAAAGAATTTTTATAATTTTGCTTTTGAAAGTATTTGGCCACTAGTAACTAATTTAATTTCGCGTTGGTCAGCGGGTCTCAGACATCCTCCTGAATGCTCAGGAAATCTCACAAGGGTACGGAAAGCTAATCTAGACGCTGTTGTCAGATGTGAGGAGATGTTTTACATGTTCCAAATGTCACCGCTCGTGAAGCCAACACGGCGTTCTGTTTTGCAAACTTTAATCAAACACTTTATTAAATTTGACTTTTCTGTTTGCTTTTCATATTTTGGAACCAGTGGTTCTTTCCCAGGCCCTCAATATTTTGTGGCCCTAGGGACCTTCCCCATCACACCTAATGGGTAAAATGATCTCACATACACATGGGAGAAGCCAGGAGGCCTGGAGCTTCCGTCTCAGTTCTATCACTGGTTAGCTGTGGCATCTGGGGCAGGCTCTGGCCCTTGGGGGCCTTGGTTTCCTCAGTGGGACAATGAATACTAGGGTGCAATAGCCTGTAAATCATTCTGAGATGTCCCTTTCTGGAACAGGCTGAACGGCAGGTAAAGCCAAATCCAGAAGAGTCTAGGTCTTTGACATACAGTTGCTGGTGGCCAGATTCCCTCTACCTGGGAGGTGAGGGGTTAACTAGGCCAGAATCTACAGCCAGGAGCTGGGGCCTGCTGGGACCTCTGGTTGCTGAGCAACAGGTGCCTTTTCTGTGCAGTGACTCAGATGCAAGTGGGGTTTGTGAGTGGGCTCCAGGCACACACGACTTCCTGCCTGTGACGAGTGTGCAGCCTGAGTCACAGCGCGGAACTTCTCCCACCTCCTCCCAGGGGAAGGGGCTGCCCCCAGCCCAGCACTGGGGCGTGTGCGCCAGCTCGCTGCAGTGACCCAGCTCTCACTCTCTGCTGCAAACCTGCCCCAGAACGGCTCTCTAGCAACCCCCTGGGTAGTAGCAGTGGGGTGTGGCAGAAGCTGCTGTCATTCACCAAAACTAATTTCCCTCTTCTTCCTGGCCACACAGCCAGACTACACTCCTCAGCCTCCCCGGAAGTTGCATTAGCCTCATCATGGATGGATGGATCTAACCACTGGAATCTGAGCAGAAGTTATGTGTGCACTTTCTGGGCTAAGACTTCCCCTTCCCTTTCATTTATTTATTTATTTTTGAGACAGAGTCTCGCTTTGTTGCCCAGGCTAGAGTGAGTGCCGTGGCGTCAGCCTAGCTCACAGCAACCTCCAACTCCTGGACTTAAGCAATCCTGCTGCCTCAGCATCCTGAGTAGCTGGGATTACAGGCATGTGCCACCATGCCGGGCTAATTTTTTTCTATCTATATTAGTTGGCCAATTAATTTCTATTTTTAGTAGAGATGGGGTCTCACTCTTGCTCAGGCTGGTTTCGAACTCCTGACCTTGAGCAATTCGCCCGCTTTGGCCTCCCAGAGTGCTAGGATTACAGGCGTGAGCCACCGAGCCCGTCTCCCCTTCCCTTTTAAAAAAATCAATATTATTGAGGTATAATTTACATACAATGAAATGTACCCATTAAAAAGACACAGTTGGATGCATGATCCCACTACCACATTGCTGTGTACTACCATTGGTACAGTCAACATGCAGAACATGTCCACGACCACAGAGGGTTTGCTCACGCTCCTTGGAAATAAATCTCTCCCACCCTTGGGCAACCACTGATTTGCTTTCGGTCGTCACGGAGTAGTTTTGCATCTTCTTGGATTTTGCATAAATAGAATCATGCAACATGGAGTCCTCTGGGCTGGCTACTTTTGCTTCACATCATGTTTTGTTGTGTGTATCAGTAGTGTTTTCCTTTTTATGCTGAGTAGCTTTTCGTTGTGTGAATATGCCACAATTTGTTTACTTGTTCACTTAGTGATGGACACCAGTTCGTTTGTAGTTTTCAGCTCTTATATATAAAGCCATGTGCATTTGTGTCCAGTCTCTGTATGAACCTATGCCTTCCATTATCTTGGTTACACACCAGGAGTGGCATTGCTGAGTCATACAAGTGGCACAGTTAACTACAAGAAAGTGCCCGACTGTTTTCCACAGTGGTTGTACCACTTTACATTCAGCAATGTGTGAGAGTTTCTGCTATTCCACACCCTTGCCAACACTTGATAATGTCAGTCCATTTGATTTTAGCCATTCCGGTGGGTGTGTCATGGCATCTCATTGTGGTCTTAATTTGCATTTTCTTTTCTTTCTTTTTTTTTGAGACAGAGTCTCACTTTATTGCCCAGGCTAGAGTGAGTGCCATGGTGTCAGCCTAGCTCACAGCAACCTCAAACTCCTGGGCTCAAGCGATCCTATTGCCTCAGCCTTCCGGGTAGCTGGGACTACAGGCATGTGCCACCATGCCTGGCTATTTTTTTCTATATATTTTTAGTTGACCAATTAATTTCTTTCTATTTATAGTAGAGACAGTGTCTCTCTCTTGCTTAGCCTGGTTTCGAACTCCTGACCTCGAGCAATCCGCCCACCTCAGGCTCCCAGAGTGCTAGGATTACAGGCGTGAGCCACCATGCCCGGCCTATTATTTTGTTTTGTTTTGTTTTGTTTTTAAACAAAGTCCAATTTTATTCACTCTTAATATCCTTGCAGTCCATTGTATACCTTCTGCACTGATCCTTGTTTCAGTAGCTGTTTGATACCTTCTCTTGCTTCCTCTGTTAACTGTTCTTTTGGAAAATCCACATCAATAGTGATTATCAAAGAGCCCTTGATATTGTTGCTGTCAAAGCTAGGGAGCCCTTCCCCCTTCTTCCATAGCTTTGCTCCCGGCCTAGTGATCTTATCCCGGGAGATATGTACCTTGTGACCATCCAAGTGAGTAATGTCCATCTCAAAGCCAACAAGAGACTCAACTAGCGAGATTGTCACATTTGTGTACAAATCATCTCCTCTCCTTTCAAACATTGGGTGCTTAACAACTTTGATCTGAACCGTAAATCTCCAGGCTCCCCATCCACGTGAGGCTCACCTTCTCCAATAAACGGGTACTCCATGCCGTCTCTCACCCCAGGTTCGATTTCTACCTCTAATGTTCATTCTTCATTCACTAGTTTGACATTAGGGCATTCATCGCAGACCACCTCCTGGGTCATTTGGAAGCGCCCAGGGCCCAGCTGGGTGGTCTGCATTTCTTGCCGACAATTGCATTTCCGTTTGCCTGGAGCCTGCCTCGCCACAGGTTTGTTTCTAACTACTTCCACAAAATTTCCTGCATACACTTCTTCCAAAGTGACTTCTAGATCTACAATAATATCACTTCCTCTCAGAATATTTCTGTCTTGCTGACAAGGGGTCCCTCTAAACATGTAACCAAAATCTCCAAAGAAGTGTGAAAAAATGTCTCCATGGGAGCTTTGATGAGCATCTTTTAATCCTTCTTCACCATAAGTATCATATTGTTTCCGTTTCTCATTATCTGATAGAACTTCATATGCAGCACCTAGATCCTGGAATTTCTCCTGGGCTTGTGGATCATCAGGGTTCCGGTCAGGATGAAGCTGCAGGGCTAGTTTTCTATAGGCCTTTTTAATATCCTTTATAGAGGCACTGCGAGGCACCCCCAAGATCTTATAGAAATCTCGCCCGGCGATCACGGCCCCGATGAGGTACAGCAGCAACAGGCAAAAGGTGCTCAGGTTCTGCGGGGCCATGGCTCTTCTGTCCCAGGCCTGGTCCCACACACTCCTCACAGCCTCCGCCGCCGCGTCAGCTCGCCAGCCCACCCGGCCCAGTGAGGCCGCCTCACGCCAGGGGTCTCCTACTTGGTCCGCAGAGACAGCTAGCGTACCCTCTCCCCCACTAGTCCACTTCCCGGGCTATTATTTTGTTTTTTGAGACAGAGTCTCACTTTGTTGCCCAGGCTAGAGTGAGTGCCTGGGCTCAAGCAATCCTCCTGCCTCAGCCTCCCAAGTAGCTGGGACTACAGGCATACGCCACCATGCCCGGCTAATTTTTTGTTTATATATTAGTTGGCCAATTAATATCTTTCTATTTATAGTAGAGACGGGGTCTCGCTCTTGCTCAGGCCGGTTTCGAACTCATGACCTTGCACCCGGCACTTAATTTGCATTTTTTGGACAACTGATGATATCAAGCATCCTCTGATGTACTTCCTGGTCATTTATAGATCCCCTTTTGTGAATGCCTTAAAATCTTTTGCCCACTAAAAAAAATCTGTTTTTGGTGGTTTGTTCTTGTGTCCTAAATCTTTGTCTGCCCTAAGGTCGCTGGGCCAAAACTTTAGAAAGTTCCCTCTTCCCTGACTGGAAGCATTTGACAAGGCCCTGGGGACAGAGAAGCCAGAGGATGAAAGGAGTCTGAGAACTCAAGCATTGCATGAACGAGGACCACCTTCTCTGGATTGGGAACATGAAGCAGAAGTGAACATCTTTTGTGTCTGAGCCACTAGGATTTTGTGGGTCTATTTGTTGTGGTCCATTAGCCTGCCCTGGCACTATTTCTCCAGGTGTGCAGATATTGTGCTTTGCCCAGAAATCCCCCTTGGGAAGATGCTGCCAGTGATGGAAGGGCCACCACCATCAACACTCCTCCCTGGCCTAAGCTTCTTCATTTCCCTGCTCTGAACAGGCCAGACAATGGCCTCTAAGGAAGGTTTGCGCATATCTTCATTGGCGTGCTAAGGGGTGGTATCCACAGGGCACGGGGCTGGGGTGGCAGAGTCAGGGCTGTGACCCCTTACTCCCTTGCCCTCCCAAAGTGCAGAGGCCCAGGCTTTAGCCAACCCATTATTCTTCTCACTGTCCATTCTCCATTGTCATTAATCCTGCCTGGAGTCTATGCGGCTCCCTATTTGTTATGTGGATAGTTAGGAGCTCTGGCTCTTCTTGGGACAAGGGTTCCCTGCTTGGGTGCTCCCTTGAGCAATTGCTCCACCTGGGGAGAAGGATAAGGGCGGGCACCCCATTTTGGGGTTGCCCCACCCTTAACCCTATCCCTAGCAGCTGCTACCCCTGGGGAAGGAGGGAATGCTTTATCAGTCTGGGCTTCCCCAGCCCAGGCATGATAGGATTGAGAAAGTGGCCTAAATTAACCAAAGGGCAATTATTATGCCATTATCTTGAATCTGCACTGTGGTGCACCCCCCTCCCCCATCAGGTGGGCTTTGAGAGAGGGTGCTCGGATATGCAGATGGAATTTTGAGGACACCTGTTGATCATTTGGTAACATCCCACACCTCCTGAGAGCCCTCCCCCAAACTAGGCTAATGAAAGGATACAATCCCAAAATTCAGAGTGAGTGAGCCAGTGGGTGAGTCAGTTAGTCAGTGAGTCAGTCGGTCTGTCTCTCTCCACTTGCCGAGACAGACCCGCTTTGTTCTACAATAAAGAACTGCTCGTGTGAAACTGCCTCCTGCCCGGGGTTACTCCATGGTATTGGCCCTGCTGGTGATTTTTCCAAGATTACAGTCCGGACTTGACACTTTGGTGTGTCTGGTCACTCTTCAGCCAAGAGCACACCCAAAACTGACGGCAGACTCTCCCACCCTGACGTTGGTTTTCAATGCTGGGGGTTGTTTTCTAATTCTGCCTTCTGTGTTCCTCCTATGTTTCTTAGATGGGGTTGTCTGACTCCACCAACTCCCCACTGGGTGGTTTGTTATTATAATGTATATTCTTACCAGGCCCATCTCTAATCTCTCATGCAATTTATTTGAAGTTGTTTTTGTTAACTATAAGTGAAGTTGTTTTACTTATTTGTTGAGTGGAAACAATGGTCTGTATAAACTGTATGTAGGGCATAAAAATATTAACACAAGGTACATCTGTACACCACCTTTGACACTCCTTCTTTGCCTGTATCTCTTTTTAGTCACATCTGCACCCCTCACGGGCAACTACTATCCTGAATTTTATGTGTATCATTCTCTAGCTTTTCTTTACGGTTTTACCACATGCTTGTGTCTTTAAATTGTAATATATGGCTTATACTTTTAGTGGCAATGCATGAGCGAATTGAAGAATAATTTACATATAAAATTCACCCATTGTGAAGGTACAGTTCAATGATTTTTAGTAAATATATACAGTTGTGCAACCATCACTACAAGCTTCTTAGAATATTTCCATCTCCCCCCACCCCCCAAATTCCTTGAGCTCATTTTTTCTTTATCATTTAAAAAATATATTCTAACTTCCAGCCTAATAGGGCTTTGGCATGGCAGATCAAAGGTGCAGTTGCAGCGTGAGCTTGGAGGTGGTACTCTACAAGGATGGGGTATCATCTTGTATGGCCTCAATTAAAAAAACACATGGGCCCAGAAACAAAGGAGTGGAGGCAGGCTTGGTCTCATTTAGCATCATTCTCACTGCTCTGTTGGAAGACTAAAAATCCTGGCCACTTGGGCCCAGCATGGGACAGCTCTGAACAGGCATAGACGCTCCAGAGCTGTCCATGGGACTGGGGGAGACCAGGTTGTGACTGCATTGCAGTTCAAGTTCTCCCTTTGCACAAGCCTGCTTTTTTCCCTCTCTTATGTAAGTACAGATCCTTAAGAAGTAACCCACTTGCCAAAAAACACACAAAAAACAAATACACACACACACACTAGTGAGTATAAAATGTATTTTGTTGTGGTTTTAATGTGCTTTTCTGATGAATATTAATATTGAATGTTTTTCATGTTTTAGTGGCCATTTATATATCTTCTTTTGTGAAATGTCTTTTCGAGTCTTTTGCCCATTTTTATTTATTTATTTATTTATTTTTATTTCGGCATATTATAGGGGTACAGATTTTAAGGTTTCAATAAATGCCCATTCCTACCCCCCTCCCCCCACAAGTCTGAGTTTCCAGCATGACCATCCCCCAGATGGAAGTTGTGCTACTTGTCATGTTTTTTGATTAGTAGGAGTTGCTTATATATTCTGGATATGAGTCCTTTGTTAAATACATATATCACAGTACAATAGATATATGTATTATGATATTTTTTTCAGTTTGCGTCAGGCTTTTTAATTTTATTAATAGTATATTTCGATGAGTAGAAATGTTAATTTTGATTAATTCGATTTGTTAGTTTTTTCTTTTATGATTATTGGTTTCTGTGTTCCAAGAAGTCTTTGTCTATGTCAAGTCTCAAAGATATCTGACATTTTCTCTGGACAACTTTCTGGTTTAGCCCTATGTTTAGGTTTATGATCTATTTCTAATTAATTTTTGCATATGGAGTGAGGTTTGAGTTGAGATTCTTTTTTTAAAAAATATGGATATCCAGTTATTCTAGTGCCATTTGTAAAAAGACTTTCTTTTCCCCTGTTGTACTGATGTGGTTGAAAATTAATTGATCACACATATGAGTCTACTTTTGGACTTTGTATTCTATTCTATTGACCCATTTGCCTATTCTTATATCAAAATCATACTGACTTGGTTACTGTTGTTTCATAGAAAGATTTGAAATTAGTTTAAGTCCTCCAATTTTGTTCTTGTTTTTCTACTGTTTTGGCTATTTTAGGTATCTTGCATTTCCATATATATTTTAGAAATAACTTGTCAGTGTCTTCAAAAACTCCTCTTGAAATTTGGGATTGTGATCAATAGATCTGTTTGAGGGACAACTGACATCTTAACAGTATTAAGTTGTTTAATCCATGAACATGCTAATTATTTCCATTTTTTAGGTCTTTTAAATTTCTCTCAGTAATGTTTGGTAGTTTTTAGTATACTGGTTTTGTGTCTTGTTAATTAGATTTATTCCTGCTTATGTGCTTTTATTAATTTTATTGTAAATGACAATTTTAAAAGTTTTTATTTTCCACTTTTTTGTTGCTAGTATGTAGAGCAATAATTGATTTTTATGTAATGACATTATATTCTGCAAGATTGATAAATTCCAGGGTATTCTATGTACACACACCATCTGTAGATAATGACAGCTGTACTTATTAATATTCAATATTTAGGATTTTTATTTTTCTTATCCTATTGCACTGTCTGAAGCTTCTAGTATAATGCTCAAGTTATTATTTATTTTATTTTTTTTGAGACAGAGTCTCATTCTGTTGCCTGGGCTAGAGTGCTATGGCATCAGCTTAGCTCATAGCAACCTCAAACTCTTGGGCTCAAGAGATCCTCTTGCCTCAGCCTCCTGAGTAGCTGGGACTACAGGCACAAACAACCATGCCCAGCTAATTTTTTTTGTTTCTATTTTTAGTTGTCTGGCTAATTTTTTTTTTCTATTTTTAACAGAGATGGAGTCCAGACTCAGGCTGGTCTTGAACTCCTGAACTCAAGCAATCTACCCACCTCAGCCTCCCAGAGTGCTAAGATTACAGGTGTGAGCCACCACACCTGGCTCAAGTTATTATTTATTAACATTGTTATTGATCTCAGGAAAAGCATTCAATGTTTCACTATTAGGTAGCATATTAGCTGTAGGTATTTCTGTAGGTATTTAATAGGTGGCTTCATCAGATTAAGAAAATTCTATTTATAGTTTCATTTCTTTTTCACTATATGTGTGTTGAATTTTGTCCAATGCTTTATCTGAATTATATTATTTTTCTCCTTTATTCAATCAATGCTGTGAATTACATTGATTTTTTCCTCCTTTATTTTGTTAATTTTGTGAATTTTAGATTTTTTTTCAAAAGTTTTTCAACTTGATTTTTTTTTCCTTTTTCAAATGCTAAATTAACTTTGCACTCCTATGATAAACACCACTTGATCATGGCCTGCTGTACTTCTGTATACTACTGTTTTATTTGCTAATTGTTTAATAAGGATTTAAAAAAATTTCTTTAATAATGTGTAATACTGGTCTGTAATTATCTTTTCTTACAATATCTTT